CCTCTAGTCTGCTGTTGGAACTCTGTGTAATATCCTTTATTTCAGTCAGTGTATGCTTAATTTCTAGTTGGGCCTTTTTCATAACCTCGAGGGTCTCACTAGATTTCTTGAGGGTCTCACTAAATTTATCGGCAGTTTCACTAGACTTATTAAGGGTCTTACTAAATTTATCAGCAGTTTCTAGAAAATTCTTGAAAAACCTTATAAGTGTGGTTTTGAACTCTATATCCAGTAGTTTTCTTTCCTCCATTTCTGTCATTTGTGACTTGTTTTTTTGTCTCCACATTTTTTATGCTTCCCTGTGTTGATAGAGTGGCTTTCTGTGCTAGGTGTCCTATAGGGCCCAGTGGCTCAGCCTCCCCAATTACCTGAGGTAGACACTTTTGGTGCACCTCTTTGTGGGCTTTGTGCACAGTCTTGTTGTAGTTAAGCCTTGATTGTTGTAGGTATCACTGGGAGGAATTGACCTCCAGGCCAATTGGCTGTGAGAATCAGCTGTGTCTGCAGTTGGAGAATTTCTGTGCTGGAGACACCCTTCTGGGGCAAGACTTGCTTAAGTGGGGCTTTGGTGCTCACTGAGTCTGCCCCCTGAGTGTGTCCCTTATGGATCTGAGGAGTTGTAGTCTGGATGGTCCCACTCTGACCACTGGGTACACTGGCACTTGGATCTCTAAGGAGGTGCTAATTTAGCCTCTGCCTGAGGCTACCCAGCAGGAGCTATGGAGAGATCTGCAGATTCCTCTTCTTTGTGTGGGGTTTGGAGGTGCCCAGATGAGGCCCAGCTGTGAAGCAATGCAAGCTGCTGTGGGGCCTTGGGTCTTCTTTTGGATGTTCTGGGTCTCTCTGACCCAGCTGCAGTTTGTTAGGTAATTTTCAGATAGCCAAGGGCCAGGTCATTCATATGCAAAAGCCTCTGTGCACAGCTTGGGTGGGGCGGGGTCTCAGGGAATCAACAGGGCGGAACAAACAGCTATGGCTGAGCCTCAGTCCTGCCCTAAGAGGTCCTGGGTCTCAGTGTCCCTCGGTAATCACTGCAAACACCTCTGAGAGAAAGCTGCCCTCGAGTTCTGCCCACTGCCAGACAGTCCAGTTTCTCCCCATATGAGTCTGGGTCCCCAGAGACTCGTCAGGAACTGGAGTTCAGAGCAGTCTGGAGCCTGTGACTCCCTCCCGATTGAAAAAGACAACCGCGTCCTCAGTAGCCAGCCCTTTCCACGTGTGCTTCCGTACCTCTGTACTTTACTTCTGTACCTCCTCTGAGTCTCAGTGTGCTTTACTCTTTCCTTCTAGTTGTAGAATTTCCACTCAGCCAGCCTTCCTGTGGTTCTGGATGATGCCCGTTTTGTCTTTTAGTTATATTTTTGAAGTGGTTGTGCGAGGCAGCAATTTCCGGTGTTTACCTATGCCGCCATCTTGGTTTCTCCGAACTATTGCATTTCTTATAAATCTCCTTTGGGGACTGATAGAAGCTCTGACCCAATATAAAGGCAACTTCTCAATTTGGTAGAAGGGAGAAGACCGTGATTTGTTTTGACTATAGTTGGCAAGTCATCTGTTTAGATTTTTAAATAATGAGTTTATTTTCCTCACTAATAATCAGAAAAATACCATTGGTAAAAGAGTTTTTCTTGGTTGTCATGGAAAAGTGCATTCTGACATTGTTTGCTTCCCACTATTATCATAAAGCCTGTTATTAACAAAAACCTGTAAATGGGACATGGATGGAAATGATGCTTTGAATCCTTTTTGATGGAAAGATATACTCAGGTCTTGTTTTGTTGTGTGGTTTTGTTTTGTTGTGTGGTTTTTGTTTTGTTGTGTGGGTCTTTTGTGTGTTTTTTTTAGGTTTGTGTTTGGTAGTAGGATCTTTTCAGTCACCCACTGCTCTTGCTTTCACTTAGAAATTGTACATAGTCAAATGGATGGTGTGGGGAGGAAAAACAGTTTCAGGATTAAACATTACAAAAATCACAAACCTTAAAAGGAGATAATAAAACTAATGTTCGCAAAACTGACATTATTTATCTCTATTGTAGAGGCAAACCGAACCTAACTAACATGAGCTCCTTGTTGATCAAACCAATCCAGCGTGTGACGAAATACCCCCTATTACTGTGCGAACTTCGCAATTCTACCCCTCCCTCTCACCCAGACTTCAGAGCCCTGGAGGACGCCTGTGCTGCTGTGAAGGACATCAATGTAAACATCAATGAACTGAAAAGACGGAAAGATTTAGGTAAGAAAACATACGATGAATCGGGTGCTCTCCACGACTGGCGTGCTCTGTTTCTGTTTCTGAGAATCAGCATGTCTGAGCCGTTAGAGCAGCTGTAGTGATCATGAAGAGAGTGTGGCTGCGCCTTGCCAGCTGGGTTCAGGAGAAGATTATAAGGCACAAAAATGACCATTTAAAAAAAAATCAGCCCAGCAGGTGTGGCTCAGTAATTGAGCGTCGACCTATGAACCATGAGGTCCCTGGTTTGATTCCTGGTCAGAGCACATCCTGAGTTGCAGGCTTGATCCCCAGTTGGGGGTGTACAGGGAGCAGCCAATCAATGATTTTCTCTCATCATTGATGTTTCTATCTTTCTCTCACTTCCTCTCTGAAATCAATTAAAACATATTTTTAAAAATCCAACAGCCCTGTACTTAACCTCTTGTGACCATTGCATGCCTGGTGACATGCTGTGGGCCAAAGACACCCAGAGCCTCTAGCCCTGCCGTCTCTGGCAGTGTGTGTGGTGGGAAGGAGACATGGCAAGGCCGGGTAGCTGGAGCAGTGAGAAGCTAGAGCCAACAATCGGTGGTGAAAAGTGCAGATCCAGGCGAGGGGGCCCAGCTAACACTTCAGCTCACCTGGCTCCGGCACACAAAGAAGGGAGATTTGGAGGGCAGTAATGGTTCCACTGAAGGGAGCAAGTGTATTTCTTTCTCAAATCAACAAAGTATTGTTAACTCTTTGTTAGCTGAGATGTAAAATTGGTGTCTAACATAGAATGTAGATTTCAAAACAGAAGGCACAATTACACCGGCCCTGTAGGAGTGCATTGGGATAGATCATGGGTCCTCTCTCAGTGGGATTTGTTCCCTTAAGTTTTTTGGGCTTTTTTTTTTTTTTTTTTTGCTTTGTACTTCTAACATCAAACCTCACTTCAATATTAAAATAATGATAGGACTTCTGAGCCAACTAGTCCAACCACTTCATTTATTTTTATTATTTTATTTTCTAATTTTTTAATTCAAAAAGTGGTATGTATTTTTATTAATAATTCAAAATGTGGTATGTATTTGTAATGATAAATTAATTTATTTGTATTAATAAATTTAAAAAGTGGGCCCTAGCTGGTTTGGCTCAGTGGATAGAGTATCAGCCTGTGGACTGAAGGGTCCTGTGTTCGATTCCAGTCAAGGGCACTTGCCCAGGTTGTGGGCTCAATCCCCCCCGGTGGGGGATGTGCAGGAGGCAGCCGATCAATGATTCTCTCTCATCATTGATGTTTCCATCTCTCTCTCCCTCTCCCTTCCTCTCTGGAATCAATAAAAAAATATTTTTTAAAAAAGTGGTATTTGTATTAATAAATGATAAAGAAGGGTATAGAGTAAAAAGTGAAAGTTGCAAAGAAAAAGACACCATAAACACAATGAAAAGACAGCCCATAGACACAGGATTACTATCTAGAATATGTAATTATTGATATTAAATCAATAATAAAATATAATAAGTTAATAATAAAGATAAGCATTTTACAGAAAGACCAATAAAGTTTTTTGTGTATATTTTTTGTTATTAATGCTAATCCTCACCCAAGGATATTTTTTCTATTGATTTTTAGAGAGAGGGGAAGGGAGGGTGGGAGGGTGGAGAGAGAGAAACATGTGAGTATCTCTCTCACATCGATTAGTTGCCTCCCACACGAGCCCCCCACCAGACAGGGGATCGAACCTGTAACTCAGGTATGTGTCCTTGACCTGTAATTGAATCTGCAACCTTTCAGTGTTGCAAGCTGACAGTTCAACCAGTGAACAACACTGGCCAGGGCAGAAAGACCAATACATTTTTAAATGCTAAGTTTCACTAATAATCAGGGAAATGCAAATTAAAATCATGACATATCATTCCCAGCCTGTACTATTGGCAAAAAGACTTTTAATGGATAATGTTAAGTGCTGAGTTTCAGTCTGCAGGTGAGAATGTAAATTGGAATCACCTCTTTGGAGGACAATTTGATGATTTCTAGTGAAGTTGAAGAGGCACACACCCAAGACCAAGAAAATCAATGTTTATATGTTTGAGAAACTCCTGCCCATAAGTAACGAGCATTGTTCATAACAGCAAATAAATAAAAAAGAGAAGAAAACGGCTTACACATTCATTCAGATCGTGGATAAACTGTGTAATACACTGTGATATCATGAGAGCATAACAATTATAAAAATTAACGGGTATATTCATCAATTAGATAAATAAAAAATGCTATTTTTAAAAATAAAGTATCAAGTGACAGAAGAATATATGCAATTTGGTACCATTTTAATAAAGATTGACATTCAAAAGAATATTATGAATTGTATGACTGAAAACACACAATAAAGGCATAAAAATGGATACAGATATAATAAACCCATTCTCTTTTTTAAAATATATTTTTATTGATTTCAGAGAGAAAGGGAGAGGGAGAGGGAGAGAGAAAGGGAGAGGGAGAGGGAGAGGGAAAGGGAGAGGGAGAGAGAGAGAGAGAGAGAGAGAGAAACATCAATGATGAGAGAGAATCACTGATCAGCTGCCTTCTGCCCAATGGGGATCGAGCCCGCACCCTGGGCATGTGCCCTTGACCAGAATCGAACCCGGGACCCTTCAGTCCACAAGCCAACGCTCTATCCACAGAGCCAAACCAGCTAGGGCAATAAACCCATTCTTAAAGATCACAACTCCTGCAGGGATTAAAGATGGGGTTCAGAGAAACTTCACCTGTTATGTAATTTCTTTTTTAATTAAAAGATTGGAAACAAGGCAAAATTAAGATTTGGCAAAACTAGGAGACAGATAATAGCTGTTGTATTATTATTTCATTTTTGTGTTTGCTTAAAATATCCTAAAGTTTTAAAGGGAAAAGCTTTTCCTCTCCCATGATTCTAATTTGCATAGTTTTTAATCAAATTTTCTTCAGGCTTTCTGTCTTTTTTTCTGTTCTCTTCTTTCTCACTCTCTCTGTGTTCTCCTTCTTTCCTTCATGCAACATGTATGATACCACAGTTTACTGGGTTCTTAAAAAACATAATCATGTGTCGTGAACATTCTTCCAGTTAATGTGGCCTTCTTTTTAATGGTTCCATAGTACTCCAATTATGAGTATGTCATAATTTATTAAACAATTCCTCAAGGTCCTAGATAAACTTTTAGATTGTTTCCAACATTCTGCTACTAGAAAAAAAATTGCTGTAGCAAACCAAACTTTGTATGCTTATGAAAAGCATGGACTTCCTGGTTATAGACTATGAATATTTTAATTTTTATAAGATTCTGCCAAATTGTTCTGTACTGAAACTGTGTTAGTTTAATCCTCATCAACAGTCTATGAGATTGCCCATCTCTCCACACCCTTACCAAAAAGAAATATTAGGAATACTTAGCATTTGAACAGTATGAGAAGTAAAATGATTTTAAAGATAAAAAAGTAAAACTCAGCCCGGCCGGCGTGGCTCAGTGTTTGAGTGTCTACCTGTGAACCAGGAGGTCTCAGTTCGATTCCCGGTCAGGGCACATGCCTGGGTTGCAGACTCGGTCCCTAGTCTGGGAGGTGGGGGAGGCTGTGTAGGAGGCAGCTGATCAATGATACTCTCTCATCCTTGATGTTTCTATCTCTCTCCCTCTCCCTTACTCTCTGAATCAACAAAAATATATATTATTCTTTTTAAGTAAAGCTCAGCCCTGGCCTGTGGCTCCGTTGGTTGGAGCATCACCTGCCAGTATAACAAATGGTTTTGGGTTCAATTCCCAGTCAGGGTACATACCTAGGTTTCTGGTTCTACTCCAGGTGGGGGTTCATACAGGAGGCAACTGAACAATGTTTCTCTCTCTCTCTCCCCCCTCTCTTTCTATCCCCTCTTCCTCTCTCTCTAAAAATATCAATAAAATAAAAAAAGTAAAGCTCAGAGAGGTGACTCAATTTATCCCAAAACTGTCTGCTAGTAGCAAGCCACTCTAGGATCTGAGGACTCCTGAGGTTGGATGTCTTTTCATTAGTTAGGTCTTGATGCTTCGTTCTAGAGACCCCAGAGAGTAAATGTATTATCTGAGAAGAGGGGAAGAGCTTTATTTCAGTATCTGGGGTACTTTTAATGTGGGAGGTAAGTGAACCTGGGGCTTTGAGGCTCACACCCTCGGACAGCAGTTTTGAAGGATGAGGAAGTGGGCGGCTGGACTTATGATTGGGCAGTGGGGCTGGAGCATATGGCATCTGCTACGGAGAACCAACAATCATGTGGATTTGTATCTTAAATATAAATGTTGGTCTTGAATACTTGGGTAAAAACACACTTTCTATGCTGCACAGGCCCAGATGTGTCACTGCATTCTTTTGTTTTAGTTCTAAAATACAAGAAGAATGATGAGGATGAATCACTTAAAGATAAATTGTCGAAACTAAATATTCACTCAATTAGCAAGAAATCAAAGAGAGTGACAAATTATCTCAAGATTCTGACCAGAGGAGAATCACAGGTAATTTTTCTTCTTGGGCCACATACATTTTCCTGAGAACATGAATGCTGATATTTTTGTGAGGTTTTGTCTTGTTGGTACACAGCTGTTTCTAGAACACTGAGAATCAAGGTAATTGCCCAAGGCTGTTATGCTGCTGTTTCTCTCTCTCTCTCTCTCTCTCTCTCTCTCTCTCTCTCTCTCTCTCTCTCCCCCTCCCTCCCTCTTTCCCTCTGGAAATGGAGTGAGGGTGGGTTTGACACTATCCTAGCTGTGCCACTTCCACTCAGAAGCAGGCAAAGCAGAGATAAGGCCATACAGACAGAGCTCAACCAGGGCTGCCCAGGAGTCCTGACCCTCGCCATCACCCAGCACATACTCTCACCCAAGGCAATGCCCTCCTTTCATCCCTGTCTTGTTTCTGCTTTTTAAAAATCTCACTTGCCTCTGGGGCTCCCTTGATATTCATTTGATCTTCATTTCACCTGGAGTAAAAAGTGTTCCGGTGCACGCGTTAGTGCATATTTTCCCTGCCACTTACCTCCTTCCTCTTTCCCCTCCCCACTCCCAGGTGCACATTCTATTACTAGGTTATTGTTTTGTGTCAGCTGGTTAGCCTGACTTGAACCTTGTTCACCTCAACCCCTAATACATAATAAATGAAGTAGCAAAGGCTGTCAAACATTAATGTGCACAAAATGAACTGGAGAGCTTGCTCCAAGATTCTACGGCTCCACCTGCTCCTCTCTCTCTCCTTCTCTCTTTCTCTCTCGGGTTCAAGGGTACAACCTATAAGTCTGTATTTTTACAGAGACTTCAAGTGTTTTGAAACTAAATAACTCTGAAGTATGTGATCCATGGGACACATTTTAAGATTCACAAGATAGTAAGTTCATGGCCTGGAGGTGGTAATACAGTGAGTGAGCTTTTAACCAAAAGTGGGCAGGAAGGTTCTTTAGATACTATATAGTTCTTTTTATTTTCCTTCTCATTGGCATGATTTCATCTCTTATTATGTTAACCTCTCTAACTAAAAGTTTTAATTTTACCTAGAGGCAAGTGGATGGTGGCTCAGCATTGGTTTTAGGTGGCTCGTCTTATCGGACCCACTCTCTAGCTGCTGTGTTCCATGGTCTTTTTCCGTTCTCCATGGTCTCTTTAACTTTGTGACCACTGAGCTAGAAGTGGCCTCTTCCTCCTCTGACCACCTGACAAACTCACTGAATGGATCCCAGTTGTGGCCCTGTCAATATCGCAGGAGGTAGCACAGGGCAGAAATTAAGAGCAAAATCTTTGAACTTGTCCATATCTGGGTTTGAACCTTATCTCTGTCTTTTAATATTTGTCTTTGGGCAAATAACTGAAATTCAATGTAACCATCTGTAAACTGGGGAATTATACTAGGACCTAACACATGGAGTGGCTGTGAGGCTCCAGTGAAATGATGCATAGAAAGTACCTAACACAGTGGGGAAGCCCTCAGTGAATACTGGCATCATCATCATTACCACCAACACCATCGTTATTTTATATCATCACCTTGTATTGTGATTTACCTTTTTTAATGCTCAGACTTATTACTTCCCACATGGATATAAAGCCCCAATTGCCTGGTGTATTAATCAGGTCTTTTACTTTCTGTATTTTATGATGCTTTGACATCTTTAATAAGCTTGCTGTCTGAGGAGCGAGCCCAGTCCAGGACTAGCCTGTTGTTAGAGATGGCCAAGGGCTCAGTGGGAATCACTTCTTTCATACACAAACCAACCAATCCAGAATCCATAGCCCCCACCACCTCCCTAACTCATTCACACACCAATCTTCCTCTGCCCTGGATACCAGGGCCAGGTACCAAGCAATCAGAGACAACCTGGATAGCCCCAAGCCCAGGACAATTATTCAAACTGGTTAATCCTAAACTGTTTACTCTGCCCAGTGTGTCTGTAGGGTTTCCCCACAAAAACTCCATACAGACTGTGGCTTAGACTCTCTCTTTGCTTCTTCCTGCCACTTAACCCAGCCTAGTGACCCTGCATGGCATGGGTGACCCCTTCTCGAGGACTTGTGAGTAAATACACCTTGTCCGAGCCTTGTTCTTATTTCCTCCTCTGACTGCGATGGCTTTCCCATACCGTATCCAATAGGGACTTTCTGGGAACACATGGCTCATTTATCCTTCTGCTTACATCCTAATATTCTTCCAGGGGCTCACTGGGTCCATTGCATACAGGAGGTAACTCCAGGCCCCTCCTCTTAACGTGGAGCTATAATATGGGATGTTTGGGACATGTATGGTGTGTGGTCACAGATCAGAGAAAGGAAAATCAAGACATTGCCACCCTGGCTGGTTTTGCTCAGTGGGAAGAGCATCAGCTCATGGACTGAAGGGTCCTGGGTTTGATTCCAGTCAAGCTTGGTTGCAAGCTTGATCCCCGGCCCCAGATCGGGGCATGTGTGGGAGGCAACCAACTGATGTGTCTCTCTCATATCTCTCTCTCTCTCTCTCTCTCTCTCTCTCTCTCTCTCTCTCTCTGCCTTCCACTCCCTCTTAAAAAAATCAATGGAAAAATATCCTCAGGTGAATATTTAAAAGAAGACATTACCACTAAAGACAACAGCCATAAAATTGAACTGAGAATTCATGTAAGAAGAGACAGTAGCCTCCATAGGCGTGTGGAAATATGTGCAAACAACCCTCCTTTGACACGTTGCTTCTGATTTAAGACAATTCCACTGAGGAACAATAGGCCCATCTTCATTCCGGGCAGGCTTTTGTAGAAGCTGTAATATTCCTTAACACATTTATCATCAGCTTCTGATAGTTTTCAATCGTGAGCTAAGCGTGCTTTGTCATGAAAGTGGCCTGGAGGGATATTAATTAGATTTCCCCCTTAATCTTTTGAGAGGATGTCCTGTCAGCAATGAAGCATTTTACTGTTAATCAGAAAATCAGCTGCATGGGCTGGACTGGGGAAGAGATAAATCTCAAATCAGCCCATTTTGCACTTGTCAGCAGCTCAGGGGAAATATTTGGTGGAGTTAGGATATAAAACTATTACCCAAGAGGAAGATTCTATTCAATTCATCACACATGTATTGAACTCTTAGGTGCCAGACTGGAAATACAAAGAGGTTCTGATCTCAGACCACTTTGCTTTAAATCCTGGTCCTACCGATGAACATTGCAAGTTTCTTTAACTCCCTGTGTTGGTTAGCGTAAAGGCCACACTTCTGTCACCAAGAGATTCCAAACCATAAGCTTCAGTCAGCCCGCCATTTATGTCTCCCTCTTGTAACAGTCCTGAGGTGTGGGTCCCAGACGGGCTCCTCTGCCTGAGATGCTTCAGAACCCAGTTCTCCCCAATTGTGTGCGTTGCTGTCTCCTAAACGTATTGTCTTCGTTTTCCTGGTTAAAGCTGGGACACAGCCAGGTCTTCATTCGAGCCCCAAGGATGGTGTTATAAGGTCAAGATTCAGAAATGAAACACATCACTTTTGCTCACGTCCTAGTTACAAAAACCCAGTTCCAAGGACAGAGCCAGCTGCGAGGGAATCTGGGAAGGGTAGCCACTGGCAGGGCAGCCAGGTGTCTACCTTAAACCAAAGGTGCCAATTCTATCAGTAAGTGGATGACAGGGGAAATGTTAATCATCTCTGCTACTCCTTCTGAAACCTGTTTCTTTTCCAAAATGGGAGTAATCACGGCACCTACCCTTCGAGTTGTGCAGTATAAGAATTAAAGTGAGCCAATGGATGACGGTCTAGCACAGTCTGGAACATAGTGTGTAATAAACGTTAGCTGTTATTATTATTAAGACAAAATACCTGCAGTGCATCATTGGAGAGAACAGCTTAAATAATTGACTAGTTGTGTGAGAGCACATACGAGGGAGTCATTCATTTTCTACAGTGGAGAGCGTAGGAATGATAGGGAGCATTCGTAGAAGGGTGACAACTGAGCAAGTCCTTAAAAAATAAACAGAATTTTTCCAGCAGAAAAGAGACAGTAGCATATTCCAGCAAAATAAAGCAGCCTGTTTTGACTGCAGAGAAGGAGAAATGGGCCATATTTCTCATAGAGTGATCCTTGAGCCTGTTATTTTATAAACCATCTGGGTACCAGCCAAGATATACTGATCAAAATAGCTGGGGATGAGTTTTTTTAAAAACTGCATTTTAAAACAATCTACCACAGCCTATTGTTTTATGTATTAAATTGGGTTAGAGCATAGAAATCCTAAGGCAAAGAGTTAAGTTTTGTGTGTATTACAAAGAACTATGCCACCCACTTAAGCAAAAGTCTTTTTAGATGAGCATTATTAAGGGGGTTAAAAATAAAAATGTCATCATTTTCTGTGTATTCAGTTCTAAGGTCAGTAATTTTAAATGAACAAATGTATGAACCGAAGACAGCTACGGGTGTCAGCCAGTACCACACTAAAGAACACACGCCACAGCCTATGAAACATTTGCTGTTCACACAGAGTTTGCCAACACGAGGCTGGTTCTAGCCATTCGATTGCCCAGAAACTCTTCTCACCATTAGGAGCAGTAGTAAGTGTGCATTCCTAGAAACTGTTGCGAGTATATAAAAAACATATATTTTTCTGAATGCTTAACACATAAGATAACAAAAAATAACTGAATACATGTGACCAGTGCCTTAACTGCTGAGTTTTCTTAAGAGAGGGCTAGTTTTGCTAAGATTATATGTCATCTTTCAAATCTGAGTCGATAAAGAATTATCACATTTCTTTAGCCAAGCACCTAAGAACATTTTCTAAACGACCACCATGAAATAAATTGGAATGAGTCATACATAACAACAAAACAAGAAATTCCAGGCAGGGGATCAAATTTTTATTTTCAATTCTCACTTTATTTTTATTATTTTAGAAGCTCACAAATATAATATAATTTGAGGGCCCATACATAATACATGTCATTAAAAGCAGCAGAGAAACATTTGACCTCCTACCGCTGCTGTGACATAGGTGAAGCTGTGTGAAAACTGAACGGCAAATGAAGCTGTGTCACGTGGCTTCCTGCACATCAGCGGTGCCGCGTGCCCACAGAGAGTGCTGTGAAAGGCAGGCGGCAGATCACCAGAGGTTTTCATCTCAGCGGGGAGTTTGCGGTAATGTGCTGGCCAATACAGCCTGTAATATTTTTCTTTAAACACCAGGTTCATTTGAGTTATAAAAATAAATAATTTCATCTATATTTTAGGTGAAAGACAACACCTTTAATAGAGAAGAAAAGCTATTTAGATCTTTAGAAAAGACCGTGAGGCACTGTGTGAAGAACATTTCATTCTGTCTTCAACACATACAGGTAAGGGAGACATGACTCTTCAATGATCCTACCCCCAGGTACCGATGTTCATGGTAATTATGAAGAGTAAATCGACTGTTCATTCATCATATGATGACACCTACCGTATCCAATTTGGGGTGCAGCAAACTGCTGGTGAAGGAAGCCAATAGAAAGGCTGTGGTTTTGTTCTCTGTTCCCTTACCTGCCCAATCTTTCCCCCATCCATATCGCCAGGTTGTGGGATGTTTGCTCGCATGATTGCCCCATGGTGCGATTCAGCAACAGGCTTTCTTTACACTGGAGATGAGCTCACTAATTCAAAATTTTGGACAAGGCACAAATGTTCTTTGTTTATTTTGTTAGACTAAATAAACTCCTGACTGGTCTTCCTACTGAATATAACTAGACTGTATTCCAGTTGGTTTAAGTCTGATTTTCAACAAGGGCACGCAAACCTCAGAGAGGATTAGAAACCCATATTTGTAAATTTAAGAGCAGAAGTGAAAGAAAATCAAAGAGGCACATAAAATGGAATGAGAAGAGATGTTTTAAAGTAAAAAATGCATAACATAAAGGCCATTTCAAAAACCCACAAAACTCACAGGTGGGTCTCACATTTAGCTGTTGCTACCTAGCAGCTGACCCTCCAAAAAGGCACGTGATCACACAATCCTAAAACAAACTGAGCGGCTGTATATATTTTACATCCAGAGTTTCATAATGTGCCCTTTACAGCTCTGAAAGAAATTCAACCTTAGGTAGGTTGTCATACATAAAAGAAAATCAATATAAGTGAACATAAATTCTAACAAAATAATTCCAATTAAAATATGCAAATACTCCTACACAACCATAGGGAAAAAAAAAACAAACAAACAAAAAAAAAACTCCAGAAATTTTCAGTCCACTATGAGAATCAGACTTAAACAAACCAATTAGAGTGCAGGATAATTATATTCATAGGAAGACCAGGCCAGAATTTGTTCTGATGGATCTCATAAAGAAGACAGTGTCCTTAACAACATCCTGACCAGGGTCATGACTATGAAGCATAGAGAGTTAGTAGAATTACGTGTATATCAGTTCATTGGTCCCCTTCCCATTTTCCAGTTTTTAGAGGCATATGCACACTTAGATGAGTTATCACAACAGAAGATTATCAGGCACAATGATTTGGTGACAAGGTTCTATGCTATGTAACCAGCAAGCCACATTCTTTCCTTATTTATTGACTGATGCATGCAAAGCCCGATTTTACACCTAGGTTTGCTCATCTTTTCCTAAAGCGCTGCCATTTGGGAAAACGAAACCCAAAACTTAGTTGTAAAAGGGCAGTGGGAACCCTGCCCTGAATGTAAATTTCAAGGAGTTAAATGCCTCTTGGGAATAGAGGAAAGTCTTCACTTAAAGAGAACATTAAATTCACTAAGGAAAATGGAAGACATACATAAAAGAGGAGTGATTTTTAAAATAAGGGATCTATAAGAATTGAATGCTGAGGAATTGCCAGTGAAAGAATTTAAGTTGGACTCTTGCCCTAGCCCAGTGGTTAGCAAACCTCGGCTCGCGAGCCACGTGCGGCTCTTTGGCCCCTTGAGTGTGGCTCTTGCACAAAATACCATGTGCGGGCGCGCACATACAGTGCGATTGAAACTTCGTGGCCAATGCGCAGAAGTCAGTTTTCTGCCTGGGCGAGTCTATTTTGAAGAAGTGGCGTTAGACGAAGTGAGGGTACTTTCCCTGAGGTCAACCCCTCAGATTGAGGATGTTTTTAGCAAAGGCCAGCTTAAGAGTACCCTAATTAACTTAATAACAATGTACCTACCTATATAGTTTTAAGTTTAAAAAATTTGGCTCTCAAAAGAAATTTCAATCGTTGTACTGTTGATATTTGGCTCTGTTGACTAATGAGTTTGCCGACCACTGTCCTAGCCAGTTTGGCTCATGAGTGGATAGAGCACCAGCCCACAGACCAAAGGGTCCTGAATCTGATTCCAGTCAAGGGCATATACCTCGGTTGCAGGTTCCATCCCCGTCCCTGGTTGGGGAGCATGCAGGAGGCAACCAATTGATATGTCTCTTTCCTCCCTCCCCTTCCACAATCTTTAAAAATCAATGGAAAAATTTACTCGGGGGAGGATTAACATAAACAACAACAACAAATAGATGGACTCTTAATCTTAAAAAAGGGTATCATCAAGAGGAGTAGGAGAAAGTAACATGGGAGGAAGTGAGGAAATAGTTTGCTATAGGTAACCCCCTTGAACAGAGTATTCATGGTGAATTCTTTTTCTTTTTTTCCTTCTTACCTCTCAGTGGGAATGGAGGGTGATGCTGATGAAGTGCCCGTTTGGGATGAGTGTCCTTGTACTAACTTTGCCCTCTGTGTAACTTTGCTCTGGGTTTCAGGATGCCATGCACTTTGCCCTGCAGAGCATGCTGGAGCTCCAGGAGATTTCATGCACCAAAGATGAGGAAGAGGGGGGGCACCCAGAGGCCCCGAGGAATGGCCCATATCCCTGTGATGACTTTGTAAGTTATTTATCTTCATAGGTAAATGCAAATGTAATAGTACAGTTAACAGAAAAGCTGATTTTCACTTATTTTCTCTGGTTAGAAATGAAACATGCACTAAAGCAAATACTAATGTCAAAATTAGTAGATTTTAAACAGGAGATTTTTTTATCATTAAATATTTTAAAGTGGATTAGTGTAGATTTCACTATAATCAAAACTTAAAAGGGTACCAGACTGTGTTTCTAGGGGTAGTAATTGTCTGACTAACTAAAATCGACATTTAGTTTAAGTGTGCATATAATACAGAAAGGATTTATGAAGTTAGAAAGCTGCGATTTTCTTAGAGTCCTTACAGCTGGTGGGTGTGAAGACACGCTCTGAAGATGTGACTTTTATTAACCTACTGTAGGCTCAAAAGCAAAGCCTTCCTATTAAAAAAGGGCTTTTACATAAGACATTTATTATGTCTCCTGTTCTGTGGTAAATATTTGTTTTCTAAGAGTTCAGTAAAATATACAGAATCATAAAACAGAGTCTGGTAATCATAAAGAGATACTTGAGCCAATGAAATATTTGGGTGGTAAACTAGTCTGAGTAATACTAATTTTAACTTAGCATCTTGTGTTCCATAGATATTGTTATTTCATAACAGTATTTCAAGTATTACATATAAAATACAATAGCCTCCATCATCATCTTGAAGGTCCATGAGAGTGGCATTATTGTGTTGGCATTACTGGCATTTGGGGTCAGACAAATCTTCATTGAGTGGCCCTTGTGTTGGAGGGTGTTTAGCATTCCTGGTGTTCCAGGCTCTAAATCTCCATAATGTCCCTCCCTCTCAAGTCCCTACATCCAATGAACAGCAACACATATTTCTGAGTCCTAGGAAGTGATACAGCCTCCGCAACAGTAGAAAAACACTGAGAAGCACCTTGCTTTCCTAGCACAGGAAAATGAAAAGCCAGGATTACATCTGAACTAAGATGCTAGGTTAGGTAAATGAGAGAGGGAGGAGGGCGAGAAGTTTTTATGACATGTTAAACGGAAAGAGTGTGGCTATTTCTTATACATTATCTAGGCTTAATTATAGAGAGCATTTTTAGAAAAGTCCTTAAGGGTTTGCTCTTTAGTTTAATTCCAATTCATTAACTAAGTCAATAAATATTTATTGAGCACCCTGTGAAAACATGGCATATAGCTTCTCCCTCATTAAGAATGCTCCAGAGGCCGCCAAACTCCCATCACCGCACTCTGCTCCGCTCAGGTCCCCGCACGACTCTGCGCCCACCATGGCCTCGGCAGCTGGTAGGGAGATGGCGCTTAGTGGAGAGCAAAGGCTCCCACGAGTACAGGAGAGAATTAGGCGTGGGAATGGCTCTGCAGAAAATGGGCTCCATGGCCACGCCAGACTGTGTCATCACTTCCGATGGCAAAAACTTCACCATCAAAACCGAGAGCACAATGAAGACAACACAGTTCTCATGCAACCTGGGAGAGAAGTGTGAAGAGACTACAGCTGAAGGCAGAAAAACTCAGACCGTCTGCAACTTCGTCAACGGCGCGCTGGTGCAGCACCAGGACTGGGCTGGGAAGGAGAGCACCATCACAGGAGGCAGGAAGGCGGGAAGTTAGTGGTGGTATGCATCATGAACAATGTCAACTGTACTCAGATCTATGAGAAAGTGGAGTAAAAATGCCATCATCCTTCTGAACGGGAATTAGCCATGAGGATAAACAAGCTCAGTTCAATGAGCAAATCTCTCCATGCTTTTTTCCCCATTACTGTGTTCAGTTATCACAAACATTTTACATGCAACTATTTCTGTTGGTTTAATTAGCATTGACCCTTCCGTTAGTAAATAAATGTGTTTATGCCATATATCCTATATAATAAAGGGGTAATATGCAAATTGACCGTCTGATCGATGCCTAACTGCTCCCCTGCCAGCCCAATCGCCCCCAACTGCCCTCCCCTGCCGGCCCGGACATCCTTCTGGATGACCTTCCAGACGAAGCCAGGGCTGCGAGGGCTGAGCCCCTTGTACGAATTTTGTGCATCGGGCCTCTAGTACATATATATATTCGTGCACTGGAGGGGGGTATCCCTCAGCCCAGCCTGCACCCTCTTCAATCTGGAACCCCTCAGGGGATGTTTGACTGCCCCTGTGGGATCAGGCCTAAACCAGCAGTCGGACATCCCTCTCACAATCCTAGACCACTGGCTCCTAACTGCTCACCTGCCTGCCTGCCTGATAGCTCCTAACTGGCCCCCCTGACAGCCTGATCACTCCTAACTGCCTCTGCCTGCCAGCCTGATTTCCCCTAACTGCCCCCCTCACCCCCGCTGGCCTGGTCGCCCCACGCAGCCTGCTGTTCAGTTGTTTGATCATCCCTCACTAACCCCCCTGATGGTCTGGTCATAGGCAGCCATCTTTTGAGGGCATGATGGTCAATTTGCATATTACCTCTTTATTATATAGGATATACATATATGTGTGTGTATATATACACGTGTGTGTGTGTGTGTGTGTGTATGTGTATATATATATATATATATAAAGGAATGCTCCAGAATTCAACAGGAAGATTAGACAAGGTATTCCTACCTTGCATAATACCACAAGATGATAAATTAGGATAAATTAAAATAATTACCAGAAAACTCAACATAAAAGTAACTTTTTATTGGTAACATATATTTGAACTCTGTTTAAAAATCAAACATTTATCTGAAACCACAGAAGTTGTTTTTATCTAAACATGAGAGATACTTATCTACACATTTTTATAGGACAAAATCTTAAAGTAAAATTTAATTCTTATTTGTTCTGACTACAATTCCCATGCACAGTGAATTGGCTCATGTCTATGTCACACAACATATATATTGCAATTATAGTGCAGTATTGTAAGTAGACTACCTATAGAGTCCATTCACATCACAGACACAGCAATTCATCCCAGAACAGTAAACAGATTATTTGCTTAGCCAAAGTACTCATTTAACAGTCTGCAGGTACATATGGATATTTTATAAATTAGACATCAAATTTAATCTGGGTTTGCTATTGCTAGTGCCAATAAAGATTGGTTTCTTCTCTCTCCTAGATTTCCCATGAGTTCAGACAAAGTTACCAGAGGCCATTTAAGTTAATTAATAGCAGCTGCTGCTCAGTCTGATTCCCTAGGACATATTTTGGGGTACAAAAGAAAACCTGCTTCCAAAATGCCATAACATAATCCCATAACCCAAGCATGTATGGTAAAGGGTGGTCAGCAAACCTAGGATACAAGTGCCCTTCAGAATAGAAGGGCAAGAAAGAAATTCAAAGAGAAGAAATTAAACATAGGGTGCTCATGGTCTGGCACAGGGTTTGGCATTAATATGAAGTTCATTTTCAATGACACAGACCTAAAAATGTAACAATTTAGGACACAGAATCAGCATTGGCTTAAGCCTTCAGTGTATTTAAAGAGGAAGCAATAACTCTGTGGTCGTTTCTATCACAGGAGCAAAATACCTATAATAAGGGGGTACTGTCTGTTTAGGGGATATAGTTCCACTACCAAAATGAGCTACCAGGGTAGCCAGGAAATCAGGGCAGATGTCTCTTCTAAGACAGACTTCCTTCCTTCCTTCCTTCCTTCCTTCCTTCCTTCCTTCCTTCCTTCCTTTTTTTTTTTTTACGAAAAGAGTTGACTATTTTATTTTCACATTTCACAATACAAATGAAAATTGCTTTATTTGGTCCCACTACTCCCTTCAAAAAGTATTCTCTCTTAGGAAGAGGGAGTGAATTTTCCTTGTCTGCTGTTAGAAAACACCCAGAGTCACAGCACCTCGATCTCTTGTGAAGTAGAACAGTAACAGAAGCCTGATAGAAAGAGGCTCCCCTTTCTCCTTATCTGTCTGGTCGAGTCATTCCAGGCCGAGTGGGCACCATCATGGGACGGGTGGGAGGTCTCATCATTGGGGGCCCAGGCATCATTGGCATGTGCCCTCCCATAGGAGGCCTCGTTCCAGGAGCAGGTCCCACTGGCATCATCCCAGGAGGAGAAGGACCCATCATTGGCATCATGGGAGGGCCCCCCATATGGGGTGCTGGCATCATACCGGGGAGAGGTGGACCCGGAAGACTGGGGGGAGGTGGGATCATCGCCCCTGCAGGAGGTGGAGCTGAGAATGGAGTAGGAGGTATCTTTCCTTGCTGAAACGCTGCAGTTGTTTTGTCAGTCAGGCTCTGAGCCTGCTCTTCCATCCATTCCTGATAGTGTCTTCCACATTCTCGTTGAGTTTCCTACCACTGCAGTGTGTCTTTCTCACAGATGGAGAGTCATGGGTGAGGTATGGATCGCAGTAGTCACAATAAAACTTGGGCATGTTGTTCTGCAGGCCGTTGGCACTCCGTTCCAGACTCTCTTTCTTTTATTGCCAGCAAAATGACAGGTGAATCATTTATGCAGTCTGGGCAGTCACAGGCTGGAGGTCACCCCCTCCCTCCACGTGCTGGCACTGGGATTAGAAAGAGGGGGTAGGGGAAGGCGTGGAAGGAGGTGATCCCAATGCCGGAAAAATGATTGGATCCTTCTTTAACTCGGCTAGGTACCTGGCTGTCTCCCTGGTGCTCCTGCAGGGAGGAGGGAAGCCCATTGATAGCAGCGCTGGCTGCTCCGTGACCGGATTGTTTCCTCTCTCCGCAGGCAGCTCACTTACAGAAGCTCGTCCTGACGCCCCTGTCAGCCCTGCTGTCCCTGTTCCCAGGGCCTCAGAAACTCATCCAGAAACGCTATGACAAGCTGCTGGACTACAACAGCTACCTGCAGCGGGCAGCAGGGGAGGAGTCAGACTTGGCCAAAAAGGAGTACGAGGCCCTCAACGCCCAGCTTGTGGAGGAGCTCCAGGTGTTCAACCAGGCCGCACGCAAGATTCTGTTGAACTGTCTGTGCAGTTTCATCACCCTCCTCCGGGACCTGACGCTGGTGAGACAGCAGCTGTATTCCACGGTGGTGCCGGTAAGCACAGCACCCGCACCTGGCCACCTTGGTCTAGACATCTCTTGGAGACAATGTCCGTGCAAAATAGCCCTGTCCATAGCTTGCACCAGCGTGGTGCGTGTGAGTGCGTGCGTGTGCCTGTGAGTGCCTGTGTGGTTTTCCATAGGAAGCTGAAGGAGAGTTTCCTAGTTTGGGTTTGCTATGACTTAGACACGTGCAGTTTTCGTTTTGGAGATTCCTTTTCAAATGCCAACCCACGTTCAGCTATTGCAGGTGACACCCATGTCGCTCCACCTGCCTGATGCTATGTTGTAGCTTCTCAATTCATATTTTGCCTTCCCTTCCCATGCAATAGTTTTTCAGTGTTAACCATGACTAAGATGAGGATAAAAAATCAGGCCATCTCAGTGGAATGATAGAGGTAGGATAACTGTTAAACCAGTCTTCATTTTGCTTTGCTCCAAAGAAGATAAGACTGTGTGTGTGTGCATGTGTGTGTGTGTGTGTGTGTGTGTGTAAAAATATGTGTGTATATCTCATTTAGCCTTCCATTAGAATATGGTTTTATGATCATTTTCTGAAGAGGAAGAAAGATATTTGCATCTTAATATCAACTTTAGAAAATCAGCTTGGTTTCCTGGCCCTTAATTTCACATGTATTAGTTCTCATTCAGCTGGTGAGGTACTTAATGGACATTTGGAGGAAAATTAATTGTCCCTACTTTATTTTTTATTGGGTATCTAATTAACTTATCCTTTGAATTAAATTATATTGAATAATCAGGTGTTACACTTACATGGTTCAAAAGGTCCATCCATGTTTTAATGTGTTTCTGTACTTAATTTTTTGTATTGCCCCCAAATACTCCATAATATGGATAAGTCACATTTTATTTAACCATTTATCAGTTGAACATTTGAGTTATTTCCACTTTTGGGCTATTCTGCATAGTGCCACTATAAATATTCAAGATCCCTCTGTTACTCTTCCCTCTGACATTTCCACATGGTCTTTTCATATAGTGGCACAGCACAGCCGGACTTCCATGGTGATGAAAGTCTCCCAAGAGTGAGTGTCCCAAGAGAACCCAGTAGACATTGTATGGTCTTTTTTAGCCAAATCTTGAAAGTCAGCATCTTTTCCATCATTCTATTCATTTCAACATTCTACTCACCGAGGTGATCATAAAGGCCCACGTAGTTTTGAGGGGCGGGGGCATGGATTCCATCTCCTGGTGGGAAGCATGTCAAAATATTTGCTGATCTGTTTTAAAACCATGTAGCCTTTTTCCACTTCCCACTATCCCACCCAACACATTGAAGGTGACTGCTGCCATCAATTCCTGAGCCTTTTCCTCAAAACTGTACTGCTATTTTTTCTTCTGTTCTCCTTTTATTAGGCTTGAATCTTTGAAAAAAAAATTATCCCTATCATTTTAATGGGATTTATGGAGACAGAAAATTAGGCCATTTTTTTTCTGATTCTAATGTTGACCTAATTTTTCACTGTGGAGCTACCCTGTACTTTCTCAACTGTTCTTCACAGCTCTACTAAACTCAGTACCTAACTGGTTAAGTAGTTGTCTTGGAACAATGTCATCTTATTTCTGCCTGCCTATAGGTACCATTGTTGGTTTCAGACATCTCTGAAATGCAGAACAGAGTGCTAGAAGAGGTTCAAAATCTGAATTTTATAAAGGACAACAGTGCCACCTTTATTGAGAGAAAACTTAGTTTTGAAAAGAAGAAGCCTGTGCAAGTTCCGGTAAGTTTGGTAACATTCATGCCCAATGATGACTATCACTTCTGTGCCTTGTTTAAACCACAATTTATATTATTTTCCATATCACTTATCTCATTCTAATATCCTGTCATTTACACTTATTTTATGCAGACACTTTTGTCTCTTTTTACCCTCTACACTATGAACTCTAAGTGTATAGATTTTTATGTTTTGTACATGATGTATTTATTCCAAGCAACTAAAATGGTGTCTGATATAAGATAGATATTTTATAAGTGTCTGTTGAATAAATAATAGCATTTTATAGAGCTAAATTGTATAGTTCAAACCTTTCACTTTTTCTAGATAAGGAATCCCAGGCTGCAGAGATGAAGTGGCCTTTTCAAAGTCACTTAGTGGCAGAGCTGGGATGGGGCTAGGCCTCTTGACTCCTGCCTAGTTTACTGGTATTATTTCCCAGAGAAAGACATACACATCTACAATTTACTTAATTAAATATTTATCAAGTGCTTAATATGCAAGGACATGTCTACAGTGTGACACAAAGAGCTAAAAATGCGTTCACCATAAGAGAGGGATTAGAACCTCTGCCTTCTGATTTTCTTTGAATTTTCTTTCTTTTCTACAACACTGCCCTCATGTGCTAGCTAGAGATTTTTTCACTGTATAACTCAGCTGGATACTTCACAATAATAGCCCAATCTATGCCTCAGCGCTGAAATAATCCCAGATCCATGTATGGCTTCAACATTTTAAAAAATTCCGGAAGAGAAGAATGTATCGACCCAGTGAGGACTTTAGAACACAGCTGTCTAAACCAAAATTTCTCCTTACCTCTCCCAGCCAGAAGTGCCGCGTCAAACGGACACTCACCGCTCCAAACTTCTGTCCACATACACTACCGAGGAACTCTACCAAGCTAAGCGCAAATGCAATGCTACACAAGAATATGACATCAATCTTCTGGAAGGGGAGTTGGTGGCTGTGATGGAACAGAAAGATCCACTGGGGAGTACGAGCAGGTGGCTTGTTGACACAGGAAGTAAGTGATTTGCTTAAGATGCACAGAACTATCACTTCTCCTCTGGTTGAGTCTTTCCCGGGGACCTCTGTGTGCTTCTCTAAACACAAATGTTTGGAAAGTGTATCTGAATGACCTTGTTTCTTCTTTCTTTTTACTCCTGTCCAGTTATTAAAGGATATGTGTATTCTTCCTTCCTAAAACCCTACAATCCGGCCAAGGCGCAGAAGGTGGGTGCTGAGAACAGGTCCTGTGATGATGACTTTGATAACATCAGCCTCTTTGTGTCTTCGCGGCGAACTAGGGGCAGTGTCACAAGCACCCCAGAAGGTAGCATAAGTGACAGCAGCTCCTCTCTGAGCGGCACATGTGGAAAGTTTGAAACAAACGGCACTGATGTTGACAGCTTTCAAGAGGTAGACGAGCAGGTAAGAATTTCAACCTTGATGTAAAGACACTTGGCTGTTCAAATCATGAAAGATGTTCTCGCTGGTGGCTCTCTTTCTTACTGTAAGACTTGGTGGAAGAGCATCAGCTTTGACATCAAGACCTGTTAGTAACTCTATTAGCGCTTACTCTCTGTGCAAGTGTTTGCAGGGAATTGCTTCACAGTCTGTTTCCTCAAATGCAGGCATAAGGACATTGATTCCTATTTTGCAGAGTTGATGTGAGGATCAGGCATAATGTGGATATGTAAAGTACCCGGCACGGAGTGGCACTCAGTAAGTCGTGGTGCTACCTTTACCCTGCTGTGATGAACGTAGAGTGAAGATGGTCTTCTTATACTCCCCCCATCAGAGGAAAACAGCTCATACTGAACAGATTGCCACCATCAGTAGCCTCTGGAAAACTGTTCCTAATTCTTCTGAGGGCAATATCTGCATTGAGTTATCTATGAATTGGCCATTTTTAATCTTGTAAAATGACATATAACATATAATGACATTTTTTAGAGCTACTTTTCCCTCAATGCATCAATGCAAAGGCGATTGGGATGGTTCTTTTGCAAATGGTTAGTTAACTATAATATAGAGTTCCTTTTTTCTACTTCAGAAAGTTTCAATATATTTAACTTTATATCCCCAAGTGGTGATCAACTACCCAATTACCTGGTTCTTTTTTTAAGTTGCTTTTTTTTAGTGGCTTTTTATTAATTAACTAGAGGCCCAGTGCACAAAATTCGTGCAGGGGGGGGGGGGGCGGGGGATGTCCTTCAGCCCGACCTGCATCCTCTCCAATCTGGGACATTCCTCTCATAATCCAGGACTGCTGACTCCTAACCACTTGTCTGTCTGCCTGCCTGATTGTCCCTCCTGCCTGCCAGCCTGATCACCCCCTAACTGCTCTCCTGCCAGCCCGATCGCCCCCAACTGCCCTCCCCTGCCAGCCATCTTGTGGCAGCCATCTTGTGACGATGTGAGGGCGGCCATCTTGTGATGATGTGAGGGCGTCGCACAAGGGTGTGAGGACCACCTAGCTTTTTATTAGTATAGATTTCGTTTTGTATAAAGGTAATACATGCTATTTGTGAAAAGTTTAAAAAGTAGAAAGATTATATATATATATAATATATATTAATTCCTTCCCCAGTTATACTCTGATTCGGAGACAATATTCAGATTATCTTTTCAGACATTGTGCATATACAAACACATATTTATATGAGTGAAAACATGCATGTGTTAAATAATCTTTTTTTACTTAACAATGTACTTTAGGCAACAGTAACTAAATATCTACCTCCTTTTTTAATAAATTGATTTTATAAAGTGATTGAAAAGTGGGAATAAATTGCATCATCTTTGTGAACAGTGAAAATACACTGTTTATTGTACTGTGCACATTTGAGGTAACCTACAAGGCAATTTTTTGTGTGACTAGACTTTTGTTCTTGATTTTATTTTATTATAAGGAATATCAACTGAAACCTGTACTGCCTTAACTGGATGACACTTGGGTCAGCATTTCTTTCCCTATCCTTTCCTACCATGGCAGCAACACGTCCCTTGCTCTCTTCCAGAATTGCAACAGCACATTGTCAAGGGAGGTTATCAGCTGTAATCTAGCCTTACTGGTGGTTGTAGTGGGTCCTGGCAAGAAAGACAGATGGATGGGTGGCCTTGGCCTCTATTTGATATTCAGGGGATTCAGTGGGGCCTAAAAATCAGTCCGAAACAGGCAAGTTCTGATTGACTTAAGACTTTATTGGCTGTGTGATTTTTACACCAAAGCTGTTTTTAACCTGGAAGAACTCAAAGAATAAAAGGGTTCTGTGAATGGGATTTGGGAGGTTTTATGAATTTTCTCAAATATGTTCCAAACTGCCTGCTTATGTGTATAACTATGGTAAAAGAAGTCCATATCTTTCACTGGATTTTCAAAGGGAAATTCTATTGAAAAAGGTAGAAACCATTGCTCTGGAAGCTTAACTTATATTTATCAATTCTTCCACCCAATCAAGAAAAAATTGTTGGGTAAAGAGCTTCTAGCATTTTCTAGAATGGTTATAGTGGTTCAGAAGTCTTAAGGTAGGGTGAAAATACTTGCTACCTATAATGAGAAACTGTTGTTAATGAAAGAGAGCGCTTCTAGATGAGACACTAAACAGGTATAACTAGGAAGTATTGTCAATCTACATATTGGGGCCTCAGTACCAACTCATTCAGAATCTTACATGCACACCACAGGCAGAAAGCAGGGACTTTCTCTGAATGTTTTAGAAGCTCTCCTAATTTATGATCCAGAGACATAGAATAATGGGTATGAACCAATGCATATTCACAAATTGGTAGGACTGATTTATAGTAAGGGACTTAATTTTTAACTTCTTTGCTCTCTACTTTATGCTATATCAAAAAGCATAAAAGCAGTAAAAAATATGCCTTCCCATTATAATGTATTCCCCCCTTTTGCTCATCAAATAGTAACAGCATGATATGTATTAATTTTCTATGATGCATAACAAATTATCACAAAGTAGGTAGCTTAAAACAACATACATTTATTAGCTCACCATTTCCATGGTTAGGAATCCAGGCACAGCTTAGCTGGGGGCTCTGCTTAGCATCTCACAGAGCTGCAGCCTAGACTTTGGCTGGTCTGTGCTCTTTTTGAAACTTCAGGTTCCCTTCCACGTTTGTGGTTGTTGGGTGAATTCAGTGCCAGTAGGACTGAGGCCTCTCTTTCCTTGCTGGTCATCAGCCAAGGGCCATGACGCCTCTCAGCACTGAGAGGCTGCTCTCAGAAATGTGTATGTGGTGATCTCTAAGCGGCTCACAGCATGGCTGTTTGCTTGTTCAAGGCCAGCAGGTGAGCATCTTTCTGGTTTCAAATCTCTCAGTAAGTCAGGCTATTCAAGATAAGCTGTGACTAACTCAAAGTCAATTTATTAGGCACTTCTGCAAAATCCCTTCCATATAACATAACCACACGAATGCCCATCACATTCACAACTACCACAGTCTCTAAGATGCCTTGTGTGGCAAGCAGGATGCCAGACTATTGTGATGCAATCTTTGGTACTTCTCAAAAGGACTGGGTTTAAATAATAGCTAAAATCCAATTTTGGTGGGAATTTCAGTGTCTGAGAATAAGTGCACTTTTTCCCCCCACATATATTATGCTGAGGATGTAATTTTTGACTTATTAGAACTTAGTTGTTTTTGCTGCTAATTCTAAATTCATTGTCTGGCCCTCCGTCCTTACATTTTCAACTACTTATAATAATAATAATGCTATATATGTAGTATACTATTGTTTAGGAAATGCTTCAAAAGTCAGCAGGCTGGAGCTTAATGTATTTAAGTAGTTGTTAAAATGACGCTTTAGAAAGTTTTAATGACATGAAAAGATTTTTTACTATATTTTCAAGTGAAAAAACAGATTGCAAAAATTATGTGTACTCTAATTGTATGTTTATTAGCACTTCAGGTGGGTAGGTAGAATAAAAGATAAATGACAAAGAAAGGAAGGCAGGATGCAAGCAAGGAAAGCAAGGTATTAATAGCAGTTGGATGATTTCTTTTCTTTTTTGCTTACCTTTATTTAAAATTGTTTTTTATTAATAAAAATTATTTGTGTAATAATCATACATAACTAGGGGGCCAGTGCATGATTTCGGGTACCTTGAAAGGAACTGTGGCCACAAGGCTGCAGTGGGCACAGGGGTGGTTCTCGGCCATTCTCCACACCCCCGCCCAGCCCCTCCCACCACAGCCTCTTGGTCCCCTGTCTGCTGGCAGCTCCACTCCAGCCGCCACTCCCACGCGCTGACGGTGCCAGCCCCGCTCGCACCCACTGACAGCATGGAGTGATTGGGGCCAGTGCTGTCACTGGTGCGAGCGGCAGCTCTGGTGCCAGCAGCAGGTGCGAGAGGTGGCTGCCGGCCCCGATCGCCCCTCAGGAGCAGGGGGAGGTAGAGAAGCCCTGAGAGGCGATCGGGGCCAGTAGCTGCCGCTCACACCCACTGATGGTGATGAGCGATCGGGGCCAGTGCCAGGCACCGGCAGCGGGTGCGAGCAGCAGCTCCAGTGCCGGCAGAGGGTGCAAGCAGGGCTGGCACCAGCAGCAGGTGGGAGCACCAGGTGGGACTGCAGTGTGAGGGAGCAAAAATATTTCCATTAACCACCAGAGGCTCGCCCCTATGACAGCAACCAGCACCCTGCCTTGGTCTGGTGCCCCCACTCACCTGTTCCTCCATCCTGCCATGGCCAATGCCTGCCATGTTCCACGCTCTGCTGCCTGCTGATGATGCCCGCCATGTTCCGCGTATGCCCCCGGTGGTCAGCGCACATCATAGCTACCAGTTGTTCGGATTTTTGGTTGTTCCGCCATTCAGTCTATTTGCCTCTTAGCCTTTTATAATATAGGATTGTTAACTAAAGTACACGAAAGCTT